GGAGCTCAGCAGTTTCTCTTTGGAGTCTGGTCCTGAAGTTTTTTTGCTGTAAGATGGCTACCTTTACATCTGCTATTATAGTTACCTGTGGCAATCTGTTCTACTTTTCCCTAGATGTGAGGTAGAAAAGACTTGAGAGCTAAATGGATGATTCTGAACTCTAGAATATTTATATGCAGTTTCTTTTCTTCATAGCTCCAGTGTGTTCAAACTGTTAGACTATCAAAATGTGCTCCTACCCCTTGTTAGAAGCATCTGATGCGATCGTTATGGATGGAGATGGAGGATCAAACAACACTCATTTTAGAGCATTTGCGCTCTGAGCCCACCATGTGAATGATAACACAATTCCCTCCAGAATTTCTTTTTTAGCATACTGTCCATACTTGGTCTGTAAATTTGTTGTCAGCCAGTGTTGTAGAGTTCTCATCCTGAGTCAAGCATATGGTGTGACATAAGCGGCTGAAGCCATTATGACCATCAGCACTAGAGAAAACATTAACATTTGCCTATAGCAAGTTGAAGTGTAAGAAGCCTCTTTTGTGAGACAAGGTGGATGAGATAATATCTTTAATTGGACCAACTTCCGTTAGTGAGAGAGAAAACACTGCCTACCTGAGCATCTGGAACTGTTCTTATGAAGTGAATTATTTGAGTAGGATGAAGCAGGAACTCTTTCATATATATCAAGAGTCCTAACTTCTCAAAGAGGGAACATGTGTAACTAATGTCCTCAAGAAGAGCATCCTGTGATGTTGCACTGAGAAACCAATTATCTCATAGTTCAGTGAAAATACCCTCACATAAGTGAGGATACTTTAGTAAAAAAAAAAAAAACAAACAACAACAACATGGGGGCAGAAGATAGGCCAAATGGTAGCACTTTGTGCTGGAAGTGCTGTTGTCCCACCATATTTGTGACTTGGTCTGTTAGAAATATGAAAATAAACATCCTTTAGATAGAGAGCTGCAAACCAGTCAAGGATGGAAAAGAAAGATCCAATGGATGCTGGCATCAGCATGTGGAAACAGAATTTCCTGATGGTGAGCTTCCTTAGATCCAGTATCAGATGAAATCCTCCACATTTCTTTGGAGTGAGGAAACATCTGGAATAGAAGGCCTGAATTCTGAACTGTTTTGAAACCTCCTCTATTGCTCCCATCTATTATTGGGACAGAATATGATTTTAACATGCTCTTTTAAGAGGGATTCCCTAAATAGGGAAGGGATGGAGGTTGAGTGGCGGTATGGTTTCAAACTGAATTATACGAACAGAGAAACTATAGGACCCAGAAAATGTAGAAGTCTCCGGAGAAAAGCAAGAAAGTTCACCTGATATCTTTCATATTTCGAAAGTGGAGATCCAAGAAGCATAAATTTGAGGGAGTTTTCTCCTTCCCCTTTTAGATAATAAGTCCTGTGGATCCAGTATGTAATCCAATTGCAGAGCTATATGGTGTAGTTTAGCTGCTACAGCAGGGGTGGGGAAACTTTTTGGCCTGAGGGCTGCATCGGGTTTCAGAAACTGTATGGAGGGCCAGTTAGGGGAGGGGGTCATAGCCCGCCCCCTCCCCCCCCATATGCTCCCTCTGGGACTCCTGCCCCATGCAACCCCCCCTTTTCCCTGACGGTCCCCCAGGAACCTCTGCCCCATCCCCGCCCCCGGAACTCCTGCCCCTGACTGCCCCCCACCGGCCCATCCAACCCGCCCTCTCATTCCTGACTGTCCCCCCCAGGACCCCTGCTCCATCCAACCACCCCTTCTCCCTGACCACCCCAGGAACTCCTACCTCTGACTGCCCCTCGTCGCCCCATCCAACCCCTCCTCTCATTCCTGACTGACCTCCCAGGACCCCATGCCCCCATTCAACCCCCGTTCCCCGCCCTCTGACTGTCCTGACCCCTATCCACACCCCCGCCCCGACCATCCCCCCAAGCTCCCCTGCCCTCTTTCCAACCCCTCCTGCTCCCTGCCCCCTTACCATGCTGCCTGGAGCACCTGTGGCTGGCAGTGCTGCAGCCGCGCCGCCCGGCTGGAGCCAGCCACGCAGCACAGAGCACTGGGGCAGGGCAGGCTCTACAGCTGCACTGCCCCAGAAGCTCGCAGCCCCGCCATCCAGAGCATTGCGCCGTGGAGTGAGCTGAGGCTGCGGGGGAACAGCAGGGGAGGGGCTAGGGTAGCCTCCCGGGCCAGGAGCTCAGGGGCTGGGCAGGAGGGGCCCACGGGCCGTAATTTGCCCACCTCTGTGCTACATAACTATTGTAATAGAGTGAATTGGTGATGAAGAAACTGCTGTGTGTTCCAGAATTATCTTCAGTTCCAATGCAGTCTTTGGATCCATTAGATGAGATTTATACAGGGATTTACATTTTAGTTTTAGTTTAGGATGTGAAGCTGATGGATCCAGATCTGATTAATTTTTTCAGACTGACTTGGTCCTGCTAAGAGGAGCCTTTTTGTCTTCTGCTGTGCTTTTCAAAACCGAAGTGGATGGATCCGATGTTCTTTTCTTACAGTTTGGTTCTTCACTCAGAGGCCATTGCCAAGGAAGCCTTTTGGAAACCATCATTTCTGACAATGAAAATTCCAATCAACTGTGTAGCAGTCATATAACTCAACTTCAGAACAGAAAACGGAGGTCTCGTCAAGATCTTCTTCTTGGAGCTAGCTGTACTCTGAGCTAACAGTGGTCTTTTTATCTTATGGTCTGATTGTGAGATAAGCCTTTAGCCAGAGCCTGCGATGATTCATCCCCCAGACAGATCCAGCGATGATTCATCCTTCAGGCATGCTGCAGCAGCCAATCCATAAGTGAGGACCAGGTCTGTGACTCCGAGACAGCAATTTAATCCCACAAGAAGAGCAGCAATCCAGTCTATCCAACCTCACTATTTGGGCTGGGAACTCTCCCTCCACCTCGTGGTGTTTCCAGCCTGCTCCTGCCTCAAGTACCCAATCTGCTCCTGTTACTGCCACAGGCATCCAGCCTGCTATCACCAATTGGCTCTATGCTGGTATCCACCTGTACTTCCATGGGCTACTCCACCCCTACCTTGTTGAGCCATCCAGCGACCCCCTGACACTGATTCTTTAGAAGCTGCTAATATGAGCAACATCACTGTCAAAGTTTCTTGGAGCAAGAGAACTTGCAGTCTGTTGTAGTCTGTTCAGGTGCTTTGTACATGGTCTTGGAGTAAAGATGCTGCAGATAGAATACCTTGAAATACTGTGGCCATCATTGAGACATGCCAATCAGACATGAGCATCCAAGGCTGAGAACACTGCCTGACACAATGTACACCTCTGAAAACTGAGTCTTTTGGTCTTCAGATCTGCCATTAAGCTGATCAACAGAACCAAATCTAAACTATAACTAAATAACACCAAGAACTGACTTAATTATATCTATCCAAATTAAACTAATAGTAAAATACTATCTAAGGCACTAAAATTCTTGAGGAGGTTCTGGATCTCAAGGATCCAGAGAAATGTACATGCATCTGCTACTGTGGCTGGAAGGAACTGTGGCAGCTCAGTGCACCACAGCCCTTTTTATAGCCTCACCCTCAGAACATTTGGGAATGCTGAGGAACAGGGTAGCAGGGGTGCATGAGCATTCCCAGACGGTTCCACCATCTGAGCTGCCCATGAATTTGA